ATTTCTTATAGTATCAGTGACGGTAAATAACAATTGATAAGCTTGTTGTATGAAATATGAATGAACTATGAAGAAATTCAAGAAATATAGCATCATAATTAGTTAAGGGGAGTTGATTACCTGTTTCTCTGTTGTAGACAAAGCCGCTGCCAACAGAGATGGAGATGTTGACCGGAGGAACGTGAGAGAGCCTAGAAGTCTGGATGTTGTTGGTGCGGGAGCCTGGAAGTCGTTGGAGGTTGTCGTGAGAGGCGGAGGAGGAGCTTGGAGGTTGTCGTGAGATGTTGACCGGAGGAACTATAGAGGTTGTCGTTGCTGGAGGCTATGATGCACGAATACGGATACGGGATACGACAAAATCCAAAAAAATAGGATACGGGGATACGGTAAGGATTTAAAAAAAATTATTATATATAAAAAAATTTATAAAATTCAACTAACAATCTAAAATATGAATCTATCACAAAATGACAAGTTTGTAAACAAAAAATGTTTCAAGATGAAGTGGAAGCTGAGAGATTGAGAGAGAGGATTAGGGTTAGGGTTTTTTCTTATTTTCTTTTGTTTGAGTCAGCTGAGGATCGAATCGAACGGGAGATTTGAGAAATAAGGATGGGTTTTTTAATCGAACAGTTCGGGTTGGATTTTAACAACCAAACCCGCAACCCGAATGAATCGGCCTTCGGCGAATTCGAGTCGTGTCCGAGCCTAATTTGACCGTTGATCCGTGTCGGACACGGATTAACCTTGTCCGACAGGTGTCGTGCACGTGTCAGGACGAATCCGTGTCTGATTCGAGTCGGACATGGATTCGTGGCCTCCGGGGACGAATCCGTTTTTCAGAGGCTGGAGGTTGTCAATCGGAGGAGGAGCTTGGACCGTTGGAGGTGGAGCTTGGAGGTTGTCATGACTCGTGAGATGTTGATCGAAGGAACGCTGGAGGTTGTCAGTCGGAGGAGGAGCTTGGACAGTTGGACGTCGTTGGAAGTTGGAAGTCAGTCGTCGCTGGAGCTTGTTGGGAGAAAAAGTACGTGAGAGGCAGCTAGGGCACAAGGGTTCGGGAAACTGAGGGGTTTAAGTTTAGTGGGTAAAGTTTAGTGAGTACGTGAGTCGGGTTCGGGGGCAATTCCCGTTTACAACTTGAAGCGGTTAATAGCAGTATTAGCGCTTTTAACCGTTAAAACCCGCTAACACGTGCGATTCGAACACAAATCGGTTTTTATTGTTTAAGCACGCCGCTGATGCCTTAAGCGTAGCACTGATGTCCCGCTTCCGCTATTCGCGCCGTTATAGCCCCGCTTTTTGCCGCTTTTTACAACATTGCATATGTCACATATTTTTTTGGTAGATTTCACCAAACTTCCATAATTTTAGGTGGTTTGCATGAATCTTAATTTTGTAACATTTGTTTATTAGAGAAATATATGATAAACTTTCGAGTTAGCATGAAGAAACGACATATTACCATAAAACTATGCACGGATAATGAAATTTGTTTATGTTTTACAAAACTAGTATGAACTATTGAAATATAACCAGCACGCACTTGCACGTATTATGATGTTATTATTAAACAACCATAAACTTATCTAATAGTATATGTATGATATTTCCTGCCGATTTGATAATTTTTGGTAATTTTCTTTGGAAACAATAGTTTATGGTAATTTTGTAGAAAATCCCTAATAGTTGGTGGTGGTTTTGTGAAATTAATCATTTTTTGTCTTTTGAGTTTTTTACAATTAGATAATCTATGATCCAGTTTCATTTAACTATGCATAGATAGATGGTTATTCATATAAGGAGATGCAAATTTCAGTGGGTGTTTGTGAAATTGTTACATAAATACTTTTGTTCATGAACCCATGTGTTTATTTTGTGGTTTGGGTGTGGGCAGTGGGTTTCTGCCTATATAGATCTATCCTTGACTGTAATACTTGCGGAAGTTGAACTTGACTTCTACGTCAAGTCTATTTTGTTTGAACTGTACTGTTTCATGTCGGTTATAATGACTCAGTATCGCTGGTTGATATCACCGCTATTGTGTATGACCTGGTAATTTGTTGGTTATCATGAATAAAGGGGATGCTGATCAATTGGAAGCGCCGGGGCTCTAGGTTGTGAATGTTGAGGTCCTATGTTGTGTACAATTCGGTGAGGAACATACTTGGCACATATAGCGAGTTGTGGGTTCAATGGTTGGTAGAAGATATATACACATCAAGGAGTAATTAAATGGTTGATAGAAGATATATACACATCAAGGAGTAATTAATTTAACCTAACGTGATACCCTAAATTATGTTTATCTAATCAAAATAGTATAACTTAGATGTGAAAGCATTAAAGTTGAAGCACATCTTTTGTGAGCATGTTTTGAAGAAATAATTAAAAGTGGATTCAATGTAATAGAATATCACTTGTGTGATTAGAAGTAAAAATAAATAAATTGATGTGAACAGAACTATTATGGTTCATGCTATGTCAGATAAGTTGTCAGGTGACATGGTTCGCGCTATGTCAGATAAGTTGTCAGGTGACTTGCAAATTGTTATCCAGCTTGTGGTACCTAGTGCTCAAAATTAAAATGCAAAACGTAATGTAAACTAGCTTTAAAAGGTTGAAGGCCCTTTGTTCTTGGTGCACTAAGAGAGCCCTCATTTTGACTTTCCATAAACTAATGTTGTTTCTCCCGTCCAGCTTCTCTAATTTGTATTTTGTAGAAGACATCTTGAAGCCTACTAGGATAACACTATAGCTCTGATACCAGTTTGTTCCAGTGGGAGCTTCATAGATGTAGAAGATGTCTATACAAAGTGAATATTAATATAGTTGTGTAAACACAGTAGAGATAATGAACAGTACACAATGGTTTAACGTGGTTTAGTCAGTATGACCTACGTTCACAGACGAGAACAAATGAGAAATTCACTAATCACAAAAGAGAAGATTACAAAGGAGAATACTCTCTAATCTCACTCAGTCCCACCACACAAAGAAAGATCACTCACCACATCAACTCTCTTTCTCTTTTCTCTAACTTTCTTTTCTCTTTAATCTCTCTTTTTTCTCTATCCTGATCCTCCTTGAAGTATTCATCTTCACCAATTTATAATGCTCAAATTATTGTGTGAAAGGAGTAAGGTGTCTGGTGAAATAAGTGGGCTAGATGTGAGTAGATGGGTAGGTGTTTGAAAAACGAAAGATGAAATTTGACTTTGCAATTCAAAATCACTTTCAACAAACTTTGTATTTTGTAGAAGACATCTTGAAGCCTACTATGATAACATTGTAGCTTTGATGTCTGTTGAATCATGAAAGAACTAAACATATAGATATAAGGTATCACTTTATCAGAGAAATTAAAGTCATTAAGATTGAGAAAATTGGTACTACATATAATTCAACGGATATGATGGCAAAGTTAGTACCTTCGCGCAAGTTCAAGCATTGCCTCGAATTGTTTGAAATTCAACAAAGCAGATGTTAAGCCCGTAAAGGGCTTTTGGCTAGACAGCAAGAGCGAAGAGAAGATCTTTATATTGAAAGTCAATGTGGAGATTTGTTGAAAGTGACTTTGGATTGCAAAGTCAAAAATTTTATCTTTCGTTTTTTAAACGTTTACCGAACTACTCACATCTAACTCACTTATTCCACCAAACACATTGTCCCTTCACACAATAATTTGAGCATTATAAATTGATGAAGATGAATGCTTCAAAGAGCATCGGGACAAAGAAAAAAAAAGAGAGATTAGAGAGAAAAGAAAGTTAGAGAAAAGAGAAAGAGAGTTAACATGGTGAGTGATCTTTCTTTGTGTGATTCTCTGGTGGGGTTGAGTGAGATTAGAGAGTAATCTCCTTTGTAATCTTTTCTTTTTTGTGATTAGTAAATTTTTATGCTATTCTCGTCCGTGGACGTAGGTCATACTGACGGAAACATATTAAAAATTGTGTATTGCTCATCGTTTCCATTGTGTTTACATAGTACTGTGTTATTATTCACTTTGTATGGACATCTTCTTTGTCTGTAAAGCACTCGCTGCAACAGTTCTTTTTGCCAATGTTATAGGGACACTTCTAGCTTTATATATTTTTTGCTTGTCCGACATTTTGACACTTTCAAGGCATTTCAACAATACACCATCATCAACTTCGTATGAAGACGATATCATCTTTCTGCCTCAATGTTGATACTTCATCTGAACTATCTTCTAGTAAATGTTATCAAGTTTGGATTTGATTGGTCATATGTTGATTATGGAGTGCATGCACATATTCACATACACATCAATGATCAATAGCCATATCCTTGCATCAAATTTTCTGAACATTATTGTTCTCGCCGATGACCACTTCTGGCTGCAGGAGGACTTTGAGGCCCATATCCGATGTCTTATGCAATACTTATTTTAATCACTGATTATGAGCATGTTTTGCATACAGCTGCTTTTGTATTTTGTGCTTACTCATTTAAAGTTATCCAATTTACATAATTATCTTGAATTAGGAAAAACTCGAAACAAATTATAACTAAGTTTACTACAACCTATGTGCCGCGTTGAACTTCTTCCCCTTTATCCTCTAAAGGAAGAAAACCACTGAGTATATCATACTTCATATGTAGCTGAAAGATCAAGCTACTGTTGTATGGTTAAGTGATAAATAGCCTTTGTATCAGAACTGGTCACCCACATATCCGTATTGTCCACTTATATGTGTCGACTTTTGTTGGCTCTGGTTATTTTCAAGATTGTTTAAAATTATTTCTAAGCCACATCTGCTTCTGATTTTGTAGATTATAGATAATGATTTTCCAAATAATTTAAAATTCTTATTTGTTTCCCCGTCTGCACCCTTAGTCGATGTCAAAGTATTCTCGCCTCTTTGGAATAAATAATTTGTTGCAAGGGTTGATGTTTTTCCTTTCTTTAATATGTATTCAGGCGGAGGTGTTATCCCATCTGACCATTTACATTGGTCATGTATTTTTGTTAACAGGTTCAGTTTCTTATAATGATAACGTTATAAAGGTGGAAGTTGAATTTGGATGAAGCTACAGTGTATCCAGGAATTAGTGGATCTGTTCAAGGGCCCAAATTCATCCTTCGTTCCGATTCGTTAATCATTATTGAGCCGTTACGACAAAATTTGTTGACATTTAATGTATGTCAATTGTCCTACCAGCGAGGTTTTCGCATTCAACTTTGAGCAAGCTGGAGATGTTCAAACATCTATGCAGTGTCATAAAAGTTTATTGGCTCAGCCTTGTGTGATCTGAGAAGAATAAAAAAGG